ACCGATACTCAATAGGGTATCAATACTATCCATTTTGGATGGTTAGATTCGACTTCGTTAAAGTTCGTGAGAATTAAATATGACCCGTAATGGTGAGACTTAGTTCGTGAGGGATTTAAATGGCAGAAGATGCCTAGAAACACTCTTAGGAGTGGGTTATAACCGAAGTAACCATATTAAATGTAATATTTCCAAGTATCTTCAATTGAGCATGTATCTACTAATTAAGAATTAAGCATCGTTACAGGGGATATACCGACAATGATATGATAAACTAAGCGAATTACAAAATAGATGAATCATGTACTTCGAGAACGTGTCGATGAATCGAGGACGTACAAGTCGTCCTCCAATTCAAGGGGAATTATGATAAGAGCAATTAAAGTGTTGATACCAAGTAATGAACCCGAGTCAGGTATCAGGCTAACAAATAATTCAGTAAGTGAACAATATAATCAGTAATTATCATAAAATCATGAAACTCATAGAGACCTCTTTAGAGGAAGAAATAACTAAAATGCCCTTAAATGATAAAAGACATATTATAACATCTTAATGAAATAATAGTTGTAGTAGACAAATAAACTCTTGCATAACGTTCTAGATAAAAGAACGAACAAGATATCAGCTAGTGAGGGGATGACCTCACTTTAGTGTGAAGAGCTATGTCAATGGGTAGCTAGGCAACCTTAGTTGACTGAGTGGGGAATCTTCAATGATGTATGACCTTGAGCCCTCATATATGCATATGTAGTTGCATTAGCTCAATACATTAGATATCCTTAAAACTTGGCTTGACAACTATGTGAGATCGAACCAATGCTTCAATTGAGCAGGAATTATTTCGATGCTATGTGATTACCAGATTCCCCCATGATCTACCTGAATGCTATGTCAGGACCATGAGATCATTCAGTAGCTTAGTGGGAATTTTATCGATGCTATGTCTTTACCAGGTTCCCTCAGCTAACTAGTACCTGATTACTATGTGAGACCAAATACTAGCAATGAGTCACATTCAGATAATGCACAATAGTGATTTTTGAGTCACACTCAGATAATTTACATCGGTTACAGTCATTGGGGTTAGAGACCCAATAGAGGTGTACTTATGGCGAGGCCCTTAGCAGAGGATTAAGGAAAGCATGAGACTTCTACTTCAACGTTAGAACAATTGAACCTTAAGTAGGTAGCATTTGATTATGATCATGCATATACCTATTGCTTAGTATCATATCTTTAGCATGCTTATGTTTATGGAACTCTTAATGTTGCTCTAGATAGTGATTATGCTACTGGACTTTGTAACCTCAGCTTTTGAATGTTTCCGTTCACAGGTTAGCAGTTGAGTCATTCAAGGAGAACCATCACCCTTTCCAAAGTATTATACTGCTACTTTTAGTGGGCATGTGTATTCATAAAACCTTTACTTATTTATTTGGGTTTACAAGCTTTGATTTGTATTATTTGATTTAGAATATGTGTCATAGAACTTCGGTTTATAAAAGTATTTTACGACAGTATGAATATCTAGTTTAGAAATCATATCATGTTTTATATGGGTATGAAAAGGTTTTTAAATTTAGTAGTTGTCTCGACAGCCAAATGTGGAGCGTTAGGATCAAATCGGGTTTAGGGTATTATATAATTGAACAATAAAATATTAATAATAAAATATATCAAACTATTATTTAATACATGAAATTTCATAATAAAATTTTAAATAAATAAATATACAGAACGTCCAAATATTTGATTTAATAGAAATTCGTCAATTGTCTAACCCAACCATGTGATTAAAGGTTGTACCATTTACGAAGGGTTAGTTCGAAATCTCTCCAATAGCAAAATTTACTTTCTTAACGCCACCGACAATTCCATTTATAACTGATTTATCATAAATTATAGAAAACTCATAAAAGTAAAATCAGACTTAATACCTACCCTTTCGCAATTTTAAATATTTGTTATATCTTTAAAAAGTTATGTCATCATGACGTTATTACGAAGAAAGTTTATTTTATTCTTAATCCAACAGTTGTTTTTAGGGTGCGTTTGGTTCACGGAATGTAAAATTACTAGTGAGAATAAAAGATTACCAGGAAATAGGATTACTGGGAATGTTATATTTTGTGTTTGGTTGGTTTAATAAGAATGTAAGATTACCGTATTTAGTTAAAGGAATAAAAGATTATTAGAATGTATATTTGACCAAATTGTCCTTATTATATATTTGTATAATACTACAAATTATAAAATATTTATATATTTTCTTTAAAAAATTAAATTCATAATATTTATATAATATTTTTACAAAATTAAAAATATAAAAAAGGTTTAATGAAAGGGTACATTTTTTTTAACCCTTGAACTTCATATAAAATTTTAATTATAGACTTTTTCCTGTAAATCTAAAATAATTTAAGGATAAATTTGTAATTTAACCTTCGTAGAATTTTTATTATTCAATGACAGAAGAATGATATTTTTGAAAAATAAAAAATAAAAAATTAAAGGCATTTTAGTCCAAAACGCCGGTAATGTTACAATACCTAGGGGAAGGGAAGTAATGACATTCCCGGTAATATACCCCCAAAAATCTACTATTGGTAATAAAACATTATCGGGAATGAGATTTCCGGCCAACCAAACATGGGAATGTGGGATTTCTATCTCATGAGAATCCCACAATCCTTAAACCAAACACCCCCTTAGGGTTTTAAATTTTTTAAATTTTATGTATTTAAGAAAACTTAGAGTTTTTTAGAATATATATATATATATACCTTAATAAATTTATTTTTAATTATTTTCTCATAATTTTTAATTTCTTTATTTTTAGGTTTAAGATCAAATCCACACAATATTTAAATATTGATGGATAATTTATTTTAAAATTATAATTAAATTAAAAAGTTGTATAAATTTTGATGAGTCAATTTGTTATCATCCAAATCATTGACTGACACATCATTTGTTCATATAAAAATTAACGAATGTAAATCATTTTATAATTTTCGATATTTCAAATGAGCAGTTGTAATATTTAAAACTTGGGTGACACAACTAAAACCTTTCTAATAGGTATATGACTTACTAGTGTAATTTACTCATATATATATTTATATATAACCCCAATCTTTGTATAGATGGAAACCAGATCAGAAATGTTATTAAAGAACAAAAAATAAATTCATAGTCATACATTGAACATGCTTCGTGATAAAATCAACTTATAACTCATACCAAGTGTTATTTATCATCGAACTTAATCATTTCTTGATTAGGGATCAATCTGAAACGTTTCAAAAATTTGGGGAGTAAAGTATAATTATACAAAAATTAAAAGACTAGCTTGTAAATCATTTTTAAAATAAATTTATTTTATTACTAGCTATCCAATTGTGACATTAATAAAGTTATTACAAACTTAAAATTCCTTCAAGATCGTTTTATTGATATTTAGCTAACAATAGAGACTAAATGATAAAATTCAATAATTTAAAAGATTAAAAGGTAAATTCTACACTTCTCTTACAAAGAGTTTTGAAATTAGAGGGAAGAGTTTTGAAACTCTACCTACAAGTTTCAAAACTAGAGGGAAGAGTTTTGAAATTCTACCTTCGAGTTTTGAAACTAGACCCAAAGTTTCGAAACAAAAAACTTTTTGTGATTGTAAGTTTTGAAGCCTACCTACTAAAATTTTGAAATTAGGTCAAAAGTTTTGGAACTTTTATCTTATTTCTGCTCATTAAATTTACTTATTCCTTAATAACCTCATTTGGCAATCTTATTCAACAAGCAAACATCGTAGGTCATTCAAGTATATAAAGATACACCCAACATGAACCGATTAAACCAACATACAACCATGTACATGATTCTAATACATTGAAACCTATTAAGCATGCTTTACATCAAATTATCAAACTTCAAACTCTTTCTTAATACATAAAAAGGAAATCACTTAATTAATTCTTTTCTTACTTTTCATGTCTAATTACACTTAACAAATTCATATAAACATGGATCAATGCTATGCATGTTAATAACTTATCATCAATATCAAACCAATCAATCATAGTTGACCTACTTATTTACTTACCAACACACCTTAGCTTATACATCAGTATTCAATACCTTATGTTTTTACCATAATTACACATTTAATCCTCATTACTTATATTTTGTTAACTGTGACATCAGCTTTTTCGTTAAATGTTAACAATAGGTGGCTTGATTGAAATCATTTAAATAGTTATGTGATCATATTGAAAAATAGTTGAAAATATGGTGGTCATATCGACACCAATCCCATAGTATGATGGTCATTTGAGTAGTTTACCCTATTTTCAAATATATATATATAAAAGAAAGGGAAAAAAAGCAGTAACCACATTGCTTTTTACCTGGAATTAACTACGGAAGTGTTGTAAACCAAGTAGAGACAATCCAAGGGATGGCAACGGGCCGGGTTCGGGCCGGATATTGGTTTTTCCATTTTTGTCCTCGTTTAAAAAATTCGTACCCAAAAAATGGAGATCCTCATCGGGTAATCGAGAAAAATTGCGGGGAAACGGGTTTCTCCGTTTAGCATAAACGGTTATTTAAACGGGTATCGGGTCGGGTATATATATATTTAAATTAAATATATAAATATTATATATATATATATATATTTATATTTAAATTAAATTTATTAATATTATATATATAATAATAATTAGTTTTAATATTTATCAGGCCGAATAATCGGGTAATCGGGGCAAGGATTACCAAATCCGTCTCCGTCTCCGTTTAACATAAACGGTTTTTCCCCGTCCCCGTCCCCGTTTAACATAAACGATTTTTTCTCATCCCGTTTAATTCGATTTTCGATTTTCCCGATCGGATTCGAGTTTTTTCCATCCCTAAACAGAACAGAACATCATGATCTCTCTTTTTCGAAAGGGTACACGGAGCATCACTCGGTACTGAATCTGAGTTCGCTCACAAGACAGCTGTTGGACTCTGCCAAGGAGCCCGAGTTCTTGGATTGGTTAAAGAGGGTTAGAAGGAAAATCCATGAGTACCCAGAGTTGGCTTTCCAAGAACACGAGACTGGTCGACTTATAATATCCGAGTTGAAGTCGATTGGGATCGACTACTCATGGCCTGTTGCCAAGACCAGAATTGTGGCCTCCGTTGGGTCTGCGGTGGAGCCCTGGTTTGGTCTTCGAGCCGACATGGACGCCCTTCCTATCCAGGTTTTCTCTTTTAAAGTTACTTCATAGGTTTCTGTTTGGTGGAAAGGATCGGAAAACGTTCTTTTTTTTAATAGTACGAGATAATTATAAAATAGTAGTTGTAAATAGTGTTTTGTTAATCAATATTTTGAAGGAAATGGTGGAGTGGGAGCATAAGAGTAAGAACAAAAGGAAGATGCATGCTTGTGGGCACGATGTTCATGTGACGATGCTATTAGGAGCAAGTTACTACAGCACAAGACACATGATTTGAAGGCCACTGTTAAGCTTGTTTTCCAGCCTGGTGAAGAATCGTATGCTGGTGTTTATCATATGATTAAAGAGAGTGCAGTTGATAATGTCCAATCCGTATTCGGCTTTACATGTCGCACCGGAATTGCCCACTGGAACCATTGGGTCCAGACCTGGCCCTATGCTTGCGGGCTCAGCCAGGTTTCAAGTCAAAATTCAAGGCAAATCTGGGGATGCTGCTCAGCCTCATACGACTACAGATCCAGTACTTGCTGCATCATTTTCTATCCTTGCACTCCAACAGCTCGTTTCTCGAGAGACTAATCCTCTTGAGTCCAGGGTAAATATCAATAATTAATCCTTCGATGGATTCATAATCTGAAAGTGATTCATTTTCACAGAACTGCAGATTGTGTCAGTAGGGTTCATTCGAGCCGATCAAGCAGCGAATACTATCCCGGAACAGTTACTTTCGGAGGCACATTTCGAAGCATGACCAATGAAGGCTTGTATTATCTACAACAGAGGATCAAACAGGTCAATTTCACCAATTAGTATTGTATTTTATAGGACAAAAACATCTTGTTTTGATATAGATGACTTACAGGTGATCGAGACTCAAGCGACAGTACACAGATGTACTGCAACAGTAGACTTCCTCGAGGAGAAAATGAGAGCTTATCCTGCAACTGTCAATGATGAATCAATGTACGAACATGTGAAAAAGTCGGCGAATCTGTGCTTGGAAAATCTAAGATACTAGTGTATCCAATGGTCGTGGGAGCAGAAGACTTCAGCTTCTATGCAAACAAAATGGCGGCAGCCTTCTTCATGATTGGGACAAAAAACGGAACACAAAAACCAAACTACGGATTGCACTCGCCTTACTTGGTTATTGACGAGGATGCTCTTCCCATTGGAGCAGCCTTCCATGCTGCAGTAGCCATATCTTATTTAGATAGCGATAATCATGGTGCTTTTAAAGCTCGGTAACTTCTTATTCCTAGGATGAAGATTCAAAAATATATGTAGACGGTAGATCGAAATGGTTAAAGACACCATTGAAATTTACCTTCCACAAACAATATGAACTAATAGAATTACCTAATCATCAGCAGCCATCAACAGACAGGTGCAGCAAGGGCAGAAAACAGACAAGTGAACAGCAGCAGAAAGCAGTCCAAGAAGGATTACCCAAGAACATTCAAGAAAGTAACAGCTCAGCCAATCCAGGCTTTAGCAAGGTCACCCGTGCAATCCACACCTTTGCAAATGGACAAACAAGAACTGATGATGCTCTTGAAAATTAGAGGTGCATAAGATGGCTTACGAAACCAAGAAACAATGTTGTTTCAATCGGATTCAACAATGAAACAGGCCTCCTTGGCCGCCAAAAGTTCTACTGAAGAAGGATCAACAAACCAATAGATATCAAGAGTTCGATAAGATGATCATATGGCTCCTTGACCGCCTTGATCGTATTTGACATTAATGATTCTCCACCAAATGCATTCTTTTTTAGTACTATATCTCCACAGCCACTAATATAATAGAACTTATTCTTGGTCTTAAAATCCACAAATTCAAGGTCCCAAAAGCACTTTGGCATACACAACGTGTCCCATTCTTGGTCTTAAATTCTGAACGTCTTAATCTTAGAATCTAATTAGAACGTCTTTTACTCGAGTCTTTCGGATAAAAGATCCAAGTATCCATGTCTCTATCAGAAAAATATTTTAGTCTTGATTTCTATAACCACTCCCATTCCTTTGTTCTAAATAGTTCCCATAACCACATTCTCAACGACCTAAACTCATTCTGAAGCAATTGATCAATATACCCATTTTGTGGTTTGACTTCCAATTCATTAATCCTTTTTCCAATGGTCGAGATTGAATCAACAACGAAATTTAATAATCTAAGAATGTCATCATTGTGATCGAGACAAAGAACCATAATGGTTTAATGACAATTTGTTAAAAGATAATGACAAACATAATGATCACACAATAAAACATACACCAAGATTTTACGTTGAAAATTTCTTTTGAGAGATACCATGAGTAGAAAAAAGGAATTTTTACTAATGTCGAAAAATTGAAAAATGCAAGAGGAATCCTCGAAAATAACTTGACTAACCACCTAGCTTCAAGAAAAAACATCGAATTAATTCCTATTGGTGTGTAGGTTATAAAAGGCTCGTTTCGAGCTCAAATAAGCGCGTGAACAGTGATACGGTGTCGAAAAATTTCTGGAAAAAATCCTAAAAATTATTTTAGGACACTTACCAAGCCCGGTTCACAATTTTGAACGGCGGAGAGCTCGATTCCGAAACATCAAAAACTTTGACTTTCTCACCCCTCCACGCGCCGGCAACGATGGAGAAACGGAGGACACCGGCGGACTTGGAACGATGCAAGGAACACGATGGTGTGAGAGGTGTCGAAAACGGATAGCCGGATCAACGTGAATCGACGAAAACCCAACGGAAATTGAGTTAAAACCAATGATACTTCCGACTGAAATTAACGATTCACGACGACGATTCACGATGGTGGTTTTGGTTCGTCGATCGGAGGTCGGACGGAGAATAGATCGGAGTTGAAAGTGAGTTGACCGGAGGAGAAAAATGAAGCATTTTCTACATAAAACAATCGGGAGAAAGGGGGTTTATATTTTCTCCTAAAGAAAAATGGGTAAACTATGAGTTTAGCCACTGAATTTTCTATACTTTATAAAATGGACTGCCAACTTTACGATTTTACAATTTAATCCTCAATTTCTTCCAAAACATCAAATTAAATTCACCACTTTAAAATTCTAAAATTTAGCCCCTAAATTAGGGTGTTACAATTCTCTCATTCTTAAAAGAATTTCATCCTCGAAATTCATTCATGTCACATAATTGTAGCAATGAAAATTCCAATAGTTCTTTCATATATTTCCGTAGATTTTACTGGAGTACTGATACTCTATTAATCCTTAATCAGTTGAGTATACATTTTCTTCAGAACTCTCCCTCATTCTAATAAAAGAATCAGAACAGAAATATCCTTATAGAATCTATTCAGCCTTGGTTACGAAAATAGACTCATATAGCGATAACATATCCCAATTTCATTTCTGGAGTCAGATTGGAATTTCTCAGATGAGTAACTCTCACATGGCTCGTACAGTACTTTATTGAATTTAGACAGATGTTATTGGTACTCCTTTTTGTACAAGTATAACCTTAACGGATAAAAACTTCAGTTTACACGTTACAAATAGGGACTCAGCCCTGGAGTTCCGACTCAGAGAGGTACGATTGTAGTCTAGGGGCATGTACTGATCAGACATCTTTTGATACCACTAAATGTAACACCCTCAGACCGATACAGATAACTCGTTTCGATCTGGAGTGTCACATTAGGGCCACCGGAGCGACCCACTGTAAAAATAGTAGAATATTTAAAACTTTTTATTAAACATGTAAACCAATAAAATGATTTATCAATATTCAAAAATAAACCAGATTTTTAGACTCAAATATAAAACAAAATACAATTACATGCCCCCTAATCACGTGTACCATACTCTGCAAACAACGCAAGAAGAACTCCCTTACTGAAGTCGATAACTGCACTGGTACAATTCTTTTAACCTGTAATGGTGAGTAATATAGTGAGCTTCGAAAAGCTCAGTAATACAGAACTACTAAATGATGCTACATGACATGCAGATAAATGGAAAGTCATATAATTTCCTTATTGAATCAGACGTATACCAGTTACGGAATAATCTGGGTTTCCTTTAGTAGTTCATCGAGTTGAAGCCATGAAGATCACATATCATAGGAAGCATTCAAAGTATGACATTTTCAGGAGATTGAATAGGATGTCTAATGTGTTCCAACAGTACAATAAAATCATAATATGTACACTTATCAAACGATAGTTCAGTAAATCTCATAAAAACATAATGAAGTTTAACTTTTGAAACTCGTAGTTTAAACCATTCTCTTGTACACCATCCGCAGTTCCCAGAACTGCGTCCATAGGGCTTACCTTAAGCACACAACAAAAAGGAAGTCAACCTAAGGATAGGCTTTGGGGCATGTATCCTTAAGTCCATAAGTCCGTAGGGCTTACCCTAAGCACACAGCAAAGGGAGCCAACCTAATGGAGCATCTTGGGCCCGTGAGCCTACCCAAGAGTCACATTAGGTCCGTAAGGTTTACCAGCTTGATCAATGCTATACTCTATAATTCAATCCATCCAAAATCAGTATTTCAAAATACAATTTATGCAGTAAGCATAATTTCCATAAATTTGTAATCATCGTTATCATATATCAGTGAAAACCAATAATCATATATCATTCATAGTCCATAAACCATCACCGGTAAGTCGGTGTATCAATAAACAGTAAATCATAGATTTCAATGTACCATATTTCAAAACAGATAAAACAATTATGTAGAACATAGGGAACACAATAGAGGATCCAAGTATTTTTCAGAGGCCATTGTAGTTATCAGTATGGATAACACGAAACTTATGAAATTTGATCAGATTCCAGGAACGAGGTCATATTGAAGAGAATCGATTAATAACTAATCTAATCAGACATTTAAGGTTGATATTTTTGAATCCCTCTATGATTCATATATCTCAGGAAAGTGTTCAAGTATGACCAGAGTAATTTGAGCTGATAAAGTAGAAATGAAGATTCAGGGCATTTACCATCCATGTCAATCGATCGGACTATCAACAACTCCTAAAACTGATGTATTTCAACTGGTCAATTCATTGCCCTTCCAGGGTATTCACACTTTAATACCAACAATTCTTGTTTATAGATCATCTTTAGAATCATCGCTGAATACATCTAAAGGAAGAAATAGAGGATCCAAATAATCTTTATTTCTATCCAAATGGAAACAATATCACGAATTGTCAACGTATTTAATTCTTGGTTCATAACCCATAGTAATCATACATCATGCAATATCATTGGAGTTCTCAGACTCATTCAATCACTTACTAAATTCTCAGTCATTAAAGTTACTCGGTTCATTTAGTAGTCAAATCAATATCCCAATTACTTCAGAGTCTTTCCGAGTAATTCAGATGCTTCTGCGATTCGGATACATGTTGTACTTCCGTTTAGTTCACTCTGGTCATTTACAAAATTTATTATTTTGTTCGTGGTTAATATATCTTACGAATATCCACTTCTTAATATCGAATGCGCTCTAGCATTGAGCTGAGTACTTCCATAATTATCATTAATCCCAATTTGAGGAGACGAACAAACATTCAAGTGGTATTTATGTCATTCAGGTATTGACATAGCATTAACGTTGGTCGACCGGCTTAAACTGTGTTCCATAACTTTTAAAAGTCAATGCAACATCCAGGTTTATTTGGATTCTTTAATGAATCCAATTCATTTACTTATACTTGGTCATAAGGGTATTTTAGTCATTTTGGTGCTCAATGTTGTTTTTGTCATTTCATAGCTTAAGGATATCCAATCTTTTCTGGACTTAATAATATTCTTGAGTCATTTCCATTACAGGGGTATTTTGGTCATTTTACAGATCCAATGTATTTCAATCATTTCCTTCCATATGATCTTATCATTTAATTCAAACGTATCATCTTTTCTTAGTCATTTCGAACAATTCTGACAAAATAGCACCCTCGATAATTTATTTTTCAGGTATTTACTCATAACTCGAAGATTTCCAGGTTAAAAGTCTTTTCAGACATTACTAAC